ATTGCCAAAGGACATAGTCTTTATGTCCCTTTCAAAAGACAGGTCTGTCAATGATCATATTACAGCTGGCCTTTCATACCCGCATACCAATGACCAATCACAACTTTGATTTGTGTCCGATATGTGTGCACAAAAGTGCAACATGCGTTAGCGTGCGTATGATGCACCCAGCTGGAAATTGTAGTGTGGCGTTTGGAGAAGAGCATGTGGTAAGTGCCCACATGCACCGTGGGCGGGCCTTACTGGATCGGTCTTTTAGTGGAGACCGTAAACATGAACAGTATTCACTGCCATCTTAATTTAGCACTACATAAAATCTTCATTCTTTAATGTAGTTAAATATGAAACACCTTTTATAACGGTTTGCCACCCACAGTCAGCACAGTACCAGGAGCAGGCCCACAAGCTGCAGGCTGACCTAAAATCCTACAGGGAGGAACACAGGCACACAGTGCAGGAGGTATGTGAAGTGAACTTTATCACTCCGGGCAGACACTGCACATTTCAGATGTTTTAGAAATCTCCAACCTTGGAAAATGTGGATGCCCTGTAGAGTCAAAATGAAGGCAGAGTTGAGAGAGGAAAGACTTGAGAAATCTGGGACAAACAGTAAACCCTAACCCTCTTAGAACCTTCAAAATTCACCCGTATGTTGCCAAGGATTTAAAGTGGTTGATACCTATAAGGCTGCATAAGTTGGTCCTTACAAAGGCGTGTCAGAGAAAAGATGGCATCTGTTCCCTCTCAATCTCCGGCTCGCTCGCTTTCTCTTGTGCCAGGTGAGCGAGAGAGACGAGGCTGCCCAGCAGCTGCAGCTCCACCTGCGGCAGTTGGAGAGTGCCCTAGCCGGCAAAGAGCGGGATACGGCCGACCTGCGCATCCGGCTGGAAGAGGCAACCTTTGACCTGGAGGGGACCAGGCGACAGCTGGAGGATACTAAGAAGGAGATTCAGGGCCTGGAAGAGGTCGTTAAGCAACAGCAGCTGGATTTGGCCTCAGCCAGTCAGAAACACAAAACGGAGGTATATTGACGTCGTATCAAAATTCTGTGCAGTGCAGTTAATCTGTGAATAAAGTTTTGAAAAGTGTGACGTGATGCATATTTTCATAAACTGATTGAGCAAAACTTTGAATTTAAGTACAATTTTAATCCATTACTTCATAGATTCTGTTAATTACTTTGTGTGTTGTCTATCAAGTTTGGCTGCGTTTTGAAACATATTAATGCACGATGTCTACAATTTTATTAGTTTTGTTCAAAAGTTTTTAAAAAGCTTGTTAAAATTCAAGAAATTGTCCTTTAAATGTCAAACTTAAATAATGCTACCATTTTCCTTCATGTGGTTATTGAGAAATAGGAACACAGATTTCAAATAAATATTCATAAATAATTCATATCATATGTGGTTAAAATATTTCAATATTTTTTTCAATATTAGTAAACATGTCAATGATTAAAATGGAAACATAAACCTGATTAATTTATCAAACAATAACGTGAAAGGAAATCTTTGATGACGTCTTTGGGGTAGTCCAGGTTGGACTGCATGTTATTGTTACGTGCTGAAAGTGCTTCAACTGGAATGTTTGCATAATTTCTTTGTGTTTTTTTTCCTTTTTATATTTTGCTGTCCCCAGGTCCTGAAGTTGGAGGACCAGGTCAAGCAGCTGGAGTCCAGTCTGTCGGAGGCCAAGAAGGCCCTCAAGACCCTCAGCCAAGAGATCGAGCGGAAGAAGGAGAGCCTGCAGAAGAAAGACAACGAGATATCGCTCTCCAAGGAGAGCATCAAGATCAAAGTGGAGGAGGTGAGGGGTACAGGTGGGGTGGGAGGGGTTGCTAAGAGTGGGTGGGACGCGTTCCCAGGACGTTGGGACCAACTGGGTCACCTACTCAAGAGAGAAGTTTAGATGTCAGCTCCTGAAGGTTATGTGAAAGATCAGAGTTGATGGGGCTGGCTTAGAGGGAATGGTGGGTAGTTTGGCCATGGTGGGATTTGTTTGGCAGAGGTGAAGAGAGAGTAAAAGTTCCTGGACCGGAGTGTCAGAAGAAAAACAATCTGTAGAGATTAAGTCGTGAGATGTTAAATCTAAAGATGTCATAAATGTCAAAGTTGAAGTTGGTTGTAGAAATGACACTGTTGGGGTATTGGCACAGGTATTGTCTAAGGATGATTATAAACTCAGAAAGAGTTAAAGACCCTGAGATTGAGTTTAAGAGCTACTGTTACAATTAAAATTCAAGGTGTGGGTTTTTTACAAGATAGGAGTTTTAGCATATAGATTTAAATCTTTGCTTCAAGTGAAAAAAAATCTTTCCAAAAACAAGTTGCCAAATGTGGGATTTTTGCTTGTGCTTTTTGACAGATTGGGAAGTTGGAAACCACCGTCCGCAGCTTGAATGATGAGATCCAACAGCTGCAGGGCAGAGAGAGGCAGGCGCATAATGACAACGCCAAGCTCCAGGGAGAGGGTAGGCAACTAAAGGAAGACCTGACTGAAGCCAGGCAGCAGTATCGCGATGCCGCCCAGGAGGTGAGAATCGATTGCTGCCTTCTCCGCACGCGCAACACCCTGAGGCCATTGTTGCCTGAAGCAGCTTTTCATTTCACTTATGTTATCTTTTTTCTTGATATGCCGAAAAAGGAATTTCGTTTCAAGTCAAGTGATGATGGAAATATTCAAAGGAACAGATGCATTGTTTTGAAACTGCCAGTTTTCCATTATTGACTGGGGTTTGTGTTTTGAATTGGGATTAGAATTTTTATTGTCTGGAAATTTGATTTTTGCTGACATGACATTTGATGTTTGAACAGCATGCCATTTGACATTTGACTGACTTACATTTATTTTCAAGATTTGACTTGTGAGTTGAAATTTACTGTGAATTGACTTGAGATTTGATGTTTAATTGACCTAACATCTGGTGTTTGAGTGATTTGAGATTTAACTTTTGATTGACTTGAGATTTGACATTTGATTGACTTTGGATTTTACGTTTGGTTAACTTGAGATTTGCCATTTGATTGACTTCAGATTTGACATTTGATTGACTTGAGATTTGATGTTTGGTTGACGTTTGGTTGACTTGAGATTTGAAGTTTGATTGACTTAATAATATTTGACGTATAATCGACATGCGATTGAAAGATTGATAGACTAAATATTTGACATTTGATTGACATGAGATTTGAAGTTTGACTCAAGACAGACCTGGGAACTAGTGCGTCTTTGCCATATTTTCTACGAGATTTTCTTGAAAATACAACTGGACGTTTTCTCCCACATAAAATACGTTTTTGGGACATTTCGACACACCTGATAAGTCAAGTTATGACGTGATGTTGATTCAAGATTTGACATTCGATATTGACTTGAGATTGAATGTTCTGTTGCTTGAGATCTCACTTTTGGTTGGCTAGTGGGCTTATGAAGGATGAGATGAAATTCTGGTCTATTGATTCACTTTCTCCTACTTTCGTATACAGCTGGCCCACCATGAGGAGAAACTTCTCTTGATGGAGAGCAGCCTGCAGTCCACCCAGGAGCAGCTCAGCCAGCGGGTGACGGAGACGGTCCGGCACGAGCAGCTCAACCGCCGCCTACAGGCTGAGCTGCGCACCGCCCGCGACCAGGTCCAGCTCCTGGAGGAGGAGGCTGAGGACCAGCAGGGCATGGCAGAGGCCCTGCAGCGGGAGCTGGCCAGCTCGCGGGAAGAGCTGGAGGGGGCGCGGAAGGAGCTGGAGAGGTGGAAAGGGGAGGGGGAGAAGCTGGAAGGCAAAGTGGGGGATGTGGAAGAGCAACTGGTGGCACTACAGGAACAGGTGCGGGGATCCAAAGAAGTCTTACATCCTAGAGGAAAAACCCTTTAAATTTGTTTAATTTTAGTGTCAATTCACATTTCTTGCTAATTTATTGAAAGCTGTGAAATGATAAAACTCATAGAAAACTCAGGACCAACTTACTTAAATTTGAATTTTACATATTTATAACTTAACAGCATTCATCTGATTTTTACAACGGGCAAAATACAGACTTTGTCAGTACTGACCCTGATGCAAAATACAGATACCATCATTGATGAATGCTTTTGCTTGTTTTTAATTTTTTGAAACACATTTTGCAAAACAAATGCTCCATTTTCAATCTGCAATTTGGTTATGGAATTCTGTTGTCCAACAGTGTGGAAACCCTGTATTTGATTTTCAGTATAAAAACGGTGGCTGCTTAGATTGGCTGTGAGGTAAAACAATAAAAACCATCAATAACATGTGACTAATACTCTCTACCAATTGAGAGACAGAATCTGGTTGAAATGTTTAAAAGATTGTCAGCTTAAATAACCAGAGTAAAAGACATGTACACTGTCTGTGAAACTGAGCTCTGAAGATTTCTGTATACATATGTATTCATACATTTATCACGGCAGTTAGTATCAAAGAATATTTTGTGGAGGTTCACAGGTTTTCCAAATTGTCAGTCTCAGATTCATGTCTAAACGGTAAACACTCGCCAACTTGTGGCTCCCATTTTGTTCCATTCTGTACGTGCTGTTTCATTGACAATTCCCTCCTGTCCTCTTCCTCCCTCCTTTGTCTCAAGATGTCAGAACAAGGCAGTGAGTTGCAGGACCAGAGGGAGGAGTTGGAAGCAGAGAGACAGCGGTACAGTGACGCCAGCAGACAACTTCAGGACTACAAACTCCGCCTGGGTGAGCTGGAGGACGAGATGGCTGGCTGCCGGTCGCAGATCAAGGACAAAGACGCTCAGGTGCAGTATCGAAGAGTTGTCCCTGACACTTACTCTCGTTAGCCCATTTTACAACTGCCTGCAGCCAGAGCTTAGAAATGACTTCAAAAACTCCTCTCTAAAGCCAGAACTTGGGCAAGGGGCCAATTTCAAAGCTCTACTCCGCAGCTGATTTTTAGCTGACAGAGCCTTTGATTCAGTCATGGCGACACTGTGCAGTAAGTGCAGTAAGCATGCTCAATCCAAGAGGAACAAGTTGCTAGGGCCGTCCATAAAGTATATACGAATGAAATGCCAACTTTTCAGACTCCCCGCCTGTATGCATGGCGTACACAGTGGCTCCAACGCCCCTCCCCTGTTCGCATACCCCTTCCACAATTCCAGAAGATGCTGCTGGTCTTTGTGTCATGAGTGATGTTGCAGGTTAACTAATATGGGCGTTGACACTGGAGGATAAATGGTGGGGTGGACAATACTGTGGAATACCGTGTTTGAATTTCAATGCACAAAAGCTGATTCTGGTCGTTATTTGTATGAGAAGAGTATTGATACCCGTTTGGGTACGGTACGCACTGGCCTGAACCCCTCCTCCCCCCTCTGTACGTATGGTGTAAACAACGGCACCAACTCCCCTCCCCTCTGTACGTATGGTGTAAACAACGG